ATACACGAGGTGATGAAAGAGGTGCTGGTGGATACAATCGTAATGTCTCTTTCACTATGGCTTGAAGATACACAAGTTTGCTTATCTCTGATTCTCTTATGTATCCATCTTTCCCAATATGCATGTCAATTTCTTCTTTAGCCTTTTCCATTGCAAGAGGATTTCGTACTAGCAGACTAAGTGCCCATGTAAGAGTAACAGCAGTTGAATCAGTTCCACCCAAAATCAATTCCTGCAAAAATGTTCAAGCTTCATCAAAAATTCTTCGAACAAAAACAGGAAATAAACTGGAAATACTATTCAATCTTTGACAGAATACAATTTTGCTTCCATGTCCATGTTCATAGCATTTTAGTAAATGGCTCATTACTATACTTACCAGGGTAGTGGCTTTGCAAATGGTATCAGCATCAAACCCATGAATCGGAGCCCCATTAAGTGCTGAAATCATCACATCCATGAAGTCTTGATCGCCCTTAACCTTTTCACCCAAACCTTTCTTCTCACGGTGCTCCTCCAACCACTCACTCAATATCTTGTCCATTTCCTTAGCCGTTGCTTTCATGGCCTTCTCATGGCCCCCCAAATCCAACCACCTCAAGCAAGGAACCCCATCAGCCACAGTGAAAGTGCCCATCAAATTCATGAACTCATCTAAATTCTTCATAAACCTTTCTGCCTTCTCCTTGCCCTCCACATGCGCCACACCAAAGTACCTCTTCCCCACCACCATCCTCACTATTATATTGAAAGTCAAATGTTCAAACCACTCTTTCATGTCCACCAAAGTAGCAGCACCATAACTAGATTCATTCTCCTTCTTGTTGTTTACACTAGTATAGCATAAATCGTATAGCTCTTTGAATGAGGTTTGAATCTCTGAGATACGAATGTGGCTGAGTTGCTCTATTCTGCGGTTGGAGAGAAACTCAACAGTCACAATCTTTCGAAGCTCTCGCCAGTAAGGTCCGTATGGAGCCAACCCTACGAAGGCTTGGTTGTAGGACATGACTTCCACAGCAACGAGTTTAGGGCGTGATGAAACGGCAAGGTCGTTTGTGGTGAAGAGTTCCTTGGACATTTCCCAGTTGCTGAGCACCAAAGCATCTTTCAGACCGAGTTTGATGGTGAACAAGGGTCCATACTTGTCAGCCAAAGCAGCCAAAGTTCTATGGGGTGTTTTTGAACCATTTAACAATGAAAGATGACCAAGTATTGGCCATGCACCTTTCACTTTTGGAGCTCGTTTCTCAGAACAAATTCTACGATGTAGATAGAAAAATAACAAGATTAGAGAAAGAAACGATGCAATAAGAGTGGTGGTGTTTAAGGTTAAGCAATTTAGGAGAAAGTCCATTTTTGCTTGTTATAAGGTGGAATGTCTTGGAACTGTTTTTCTTTTCTTTCTGCTTTTATAAGGAAAGCATGGGTCTAAGCTTTGTGCACGGCCACATGTTTGACCAATATGGCGTCATTTTTTGTTTATAATAATGAATGGAAGCTTGTGTGGAATAGTCAAAATTTTTGTAATGCTGTGTATGAAATATAAGATATTCTACTATAGACAACTTTTTGTTACTTGATCTGCAAGTACTATAATATATTAGTAGATAGTTCTGCATAATGGAGACAAAACTGGGAGACACAAGAAGGTTATCATAAATATTTCAAATATTGATTTTTTTTATAAAAAAAGTACATTTTTTTAATTTTTAAATAACTTTTTATATTACTGTAATATTTTTTATTTTTGTTCCTACAAAATTAAAATTCAGTATTTCTATTCTTATAACATTTATTTTTACTGTACACAAAACTTATTTTAGGAAACTCTGAAAGTTTTACATTGACCAAACCCACCTATGTTTATTTTAAGGTGGCTGAAGCGAATAATTTGACAACCTTGGTGACCAAGGATAGTTGACCAGGAAAGATAAAAGTGTAGCAATGATATTGACTCCTGTGACCCATAACAAGACCAACGCATTAATGCATCTTTGGCATTCATTATAACTAATTATAATCAAATAGAAAGAAAATAAAAAGAAAAAGGAAAGAGCAGAAAATAGTTATAATTCGTTACTGTAGAAACATGAAAAATAAATTTTTTATATTTTTTGAAAAATACAGTTTGAAATATATTAAAAAGTTTGTTAATTACGTATTTTAGAAACATTATGAAAAAACATATACTTATAAATATTACATTGACCAACGAACTTGATTGAAGAATAGAAAATAAAAAGATAACGTGATAATGAGAAAACAAAATTATATTCGTTCAACCTAAAATCTACTAAATTGCATCAAAATATTTATAAAATAAGTTATTTATAAAAGAGGCACCCAAGATCAGTGTCTGCAAAGTGCAAGTTCTCTAATTAAGAAAAATGTTCGGTAAAACAGATGTTTTATAAATTTGTTTCTGTTATTAATAAAATAAGTAGTTAAAAATGATCTTAGAGATCAGACTATAATTCATAAATTAGTTATAAATTTTGTTATAGAATATAGATTATTTTAGATATTAATAAATTTTAATTTATATAATAATGTTTAAACGAGTCATATAATAATTAACTATATTTTTTTTAATTATTTGACGGGTTATTTTTCAGAAAAAAAATAATTCTAATTGGAGTATTGATTCTCTAATTTGTCAATTTAGTACTTTTAAATTGACATTTGTAAGACATGGTTTATAATTGAATACTTCAAATATTGATTTTTTTTATGAAAAAAATACATTTTTTTAACTTTTTAATAACTTGTGATATTACTGTAATATTTTTTATTTTTGTTATTACAAAATTAAAATTCAGTATTTCTATTCTTACAACATTTATTTTTACTGTACATAAAACTTATTTTAGGAAACTCCGAAAGTTCTACATTGAACAAACCCACTCTACTAGTTTATTTTAAGGTGGCTGAAGTGAATAATTGGACAACCTTGGTGACCAAGTCATATGACCAATAACAAGACCAACGCATACATACATCTTTCCCATTGATTATTAATCAAATAGAAAGAAAGGAAAAAAAAAAAGGTACAGTTTGAAATATATTAAAAAGTTTGTTAATTACGTATTTTAGAAATATTATGAAAAAAACATATATTTATAAATATTACATTTGCCGATGAACTTAATTGAAAAATAGAAATAAAAACATAACGTGACAATGAGAAAAAAAAAATTATATTCGTTCAACCTAAACTCTACTAAATTGTATCAAAATAATTATAAAATAGTTCAAGTTATTTATACAAATAATCACTACGATATATTGACGTAAATTGTGCCTAAATATTAACAAGGAACTCTAATAATATAGCAATTTAATTATATTAGAATTTAAAAGTCAATTTGATATTTTTTTTACGTTATATATCTTAGTACTGAATTGTAATTGGGATGTATGTACGGAAAAAATGAAATAGTAAAAATTAAAAATTAAAAATCAAAATTATCTGTTTTTTATTTAACTTTTTTTTTTAAGTGTTCAAACAAAAGTACGTTTGAGAATTTAGCAAAGTTCCTCAAAGTCGAAACTTTGTAAAAATAATGTAAACAAATTTATTTTCGTATTGATGTTGGTTGTGGTAAATTCTCTTCAAATTTACAAGGGAAATAGGAGATAATATGATTCATATACAGGAAAGTAATTAATCAATACAAAATCAGATACACATGAAACATAAAATCTCTATCTTTCAGTCACTTCCGCTGATAGAAACTCCAATATAAGAGTGACTGTGCTTGCATTAGTGACACCCGCCTGCTAATCAAGTGCAAGTTCTATAATTAAGAAAAATGTTAGACAAACAAAATTTTTACTTGTAAATTAGTTTCTATTAATATTAAAATATAAGTAGCTAAAATTTTGATAATGATCTTAGAGATTAATTAACACTATAATTTATAAATTAATTATAAATTAACTATAAATTTTATTAATAATAGAGATTATTTTAGATAACAATAAATGTTATTTTATAAAATAGTGTTTAAACTAGTCAATATAATAATTAATTATATTTGTTATTTAATTTCTTATAATGAATTAATTTTTGAAAGAAATTAATTTAAGTGATTTTTGTTGGTATTCCAATTTAATTTTTAATTATTTGTTAAGATATTTTTCTGAAAGAAAAAATTCTAATTGGAGTATTGATTCTCTAATTTGTCATTTTAATACTTTTAAATGGACATTTGTAAAACTTGGTTTATAAACTGAGTACCACTTGTACCATGTTATCTTAATAGATTTTTGTTTAGTAAAAAAAATCATTCAGGAAAATTACATGTTAGAAAATCATGAGTTTTCAGTTTAAGTTGGAGGTTTTATAAAAATGAAAAAGATACCCATGGATAAACCTAGTTATCATATAGTTACTGACCTTTAAATATGAGAAGGATTTCAAAAGGAAAATAATATTTGGTAGTGTAATAGAAATCTTTTCCTGCGGATTAACAAATAATACTTCAATATATTAATATTTTAGTCCTATTTATTTGAATATTAGTTGAGTTTCATAATTTTTCTGTTGTTGGATTTAATCCGATTTTTGAATTAGTAAAAAAGTAGATTGATTTGTGTTCCAAAGTCAAAGGTTAATTGTTTTAGAAGAACAATGTTAACTCAAGGTAGAAGGGTTGAGTGAATCATTTAAAAGATAGAAAATGTTAGAAAAAAGAGAGTAGAATTTTTATTTATTTATTAAAAATAACATAGAAATTAAATATTTATTTTAAAATGATAGAAAGTATATTATGATCTTACTAAAAAAATATTAAAAAAAGTAAAACTATTTATTTTAAAATGAAAAAAAATACGAGAATTGTAAAATAAAATGTAAAAAGATTTTGTTTTTTTTAATATTTATATAAGTGGATATTATTTTTTCTGGATCAGGTCAAAACATAGGATTCTCTGTCTAAAACCAAGACATAAAAAAGAGTTGCAAAATTTCCAATAAAGGGATCCAAAATTTGATGTGAGTGTATAGACTCACGTCTCAAGGAGAGCATATTAGGGCAATGAGACACTTCGCAGCTTCTGCTAATGACTCTGTCTTCGGCTTTTGCTCAATGCTTCGTAAGTTTCACATAAGTACCAAACTATGGAGAAGGAGTTGCACTACCCATGCCATTTGCCATGCTACAAAGGTAGGTACCTTTTGCATTTTAAACCTTAGTTGCAGTTTTTTTAAGAGAAAAACATTATTTTGGTCAGGAGTGTAAACTTAAACCAAATAATTTCCAAAGAATAAGTTTAAAAGAGTATAGAAGCATGAGAAATGATAGCAGACAGAATACACCAGATAATGGTAGCAGACACCAAGATAGAGTAAGAGATGGATGAGAGAATAATGTAGATATGATGATGATGAAGAATTAGAGAACACATGATGATTGTTAAACAATAAAATGCATAGAAGTGTGAAAATGGACGCTCGTATACTAGAAGGCACTTTGAGTTGAGGGAGAAAGAGACAGAAGAGCAAATAGGTTAAGATATGAATGATGATATCACATAATTAGAAGAAAGAAATAGAGAAAGAATTCTGAGTGTTGAACAATATAAAATTATAGAATTATTAAAATGATGCATAGACAGGACTAAACAATTTGAGAGAGAGATGAGAGAGAATATTGTAAGATAAGTAATATGATGTGATGAAAAGAAAAAGTTAAAATGAGGAGTGTTAAGTGTTTGACCTGTTGAGATATCCAAATAAAATCATTTCTGATGTGTTTATGTTACTTTACTAAGTTTTGTCTTTGTTATAATCAACCACGCTTTTGAGCTCCAGTTAATGTGATTATGATTCCAACACTGTATCTTTTGCCGTGAAGTCAAAGGAAGAACTGTTGGTGGTTGTTGGGGGTGGGGCAGCTGGGGTGTATGGAGCAATTCATGCCAAGACTGTGGCACCCCATCTTAGCGTCGTAGTTATTGAGAAGGGAAAGCCTCTCTCCAAGGTTGTGTCACAATGCCATCATGCTATTCAATTTCTGTGCAATGTTCTCATTCTCTGTTATTCTTCTCGTTGGTACTGTCTGCAGGTGAAAGTTTCTGGAGGAGGACGGTGCAATGTGACTAATGGGCATTGTGTTGACAATATGGTAGGTAGTCGTGCTCTCCTTGTGAAGTTAAAAACATATACGTTTTTTTGTGGGATAGTCTGTTAACTGTCTTGCACTAGCATATTACTTTTTCGTTCTCGGAGCATTTAGAGAAATGCAACAAGTTAATTTGGTGTTTGTAATAAAATGCAGGTGAGCAGGTCATTCTACTGGTTTCTTTCCTATGAGGAATTAATAAATTGTCAGTTTTGGTTTGTTTTGTTGTGTCTTGCATGTAATTACTTTATTGGATTGCCATAATGAAGCTTGAATGTTTTGAATATGATTAGTTTGTAGATTTTGGCAGAAAACTATCCGAGAGGTCACAAGGAACTGAGAGGGTCTTTTTTTAATATACATGGTCCAGCGGATACAATGTCATGGTTTGCCTCTCATGGAGTGGAGCTGAAGGTTTTCCTGTGAAAAAAAATGCTCATTGCTTGTTTCTGTTTCAACTTCCCAGTGTGCATTTCTGATTCATGATTAACTGCTCTTAGGTTGAGGATGATGGCAGGGTATTTCCTGTCAGCAACAGCTCTTCTTCTATAATTGATTGTCTCATGTCCGAGGTGAAGCAAAGGGGAGGTATGTGATATTAAACTACCATCCTTGAGATTGAATTAAGACAGTTCCCAAAGAGGTTGCAACTAAGGGGGACTAGGGGTAACCACAATTAAGGTGGCTTCATATTTCACAAATTTCTATGACCAAGAACATTTATTATCTCAAATGCAGTGAAAGTTACCAAAATTTAATTTTACATAAAATACAATATACAATATAAAAAATTATGGTATGAGATCATTCTCACCTGTTGTCTGATTGCTTTCTCCTTGGGCATCAGGTAGATTTTTCTTTGTTACCAAATGATTGAGCTTTGGAAAATATATGTATCTCTATGAAAGTTTTTTTACTTTTTTTTCATATAAAGCAATGATATGTTTTTTCTATTTGTTGGAGTTCTCACAAGATGAGAATTGTTCTCCACTTATATTATATACATTATTTTGGTTATATTGTATGATAGTGGAATCTCCGACACTATTTATTAAATGTAATTCCTTAAAATCCACTCTATATGAAAGTTTTCACTCCACAAAATTGATTCCACACGTCTAGCACTACTGAGCTTGATATGAGTATAACATCTTGAGTGACCCTTTTAATAGATCTAAAGCAGGCTTCGATATCATCCTACAAAGTAGTTTAGGCCTAACTTAATCTTTCAAAAGTGGTTTTTAAGGTGGAGTTTTTATCTACTTATATAATATAATTGAGCCATATCTTTAGTCATTCTGGAACTTGGGTTTTTTCTAATAGATATTATAAACATCGACATCTGTTTGTGTTTTACAGTCATTTGATTTCAAGATTTCTATGATGTACGTTGAATTTGTCAGTGCTGAACTCTGTTTTCTCAAATAGTTTCTCTGCAGACCAGAAAAGCTGTAGCAGCAATATCAATTTTATCTGGTGGCAAATTCCTTCTCGAGATTCAGCAGCACACATCTGTTCATGTTGAACGTGTTGAAGCTGATTATCTATTGATTGCTAGTGGTAGTAGTCGTCAGGTTGTGGTGGATAATTGATTTATTTGAATTAAGAGGAATGAATCTTGTCATATTTTCTTAAACCAGTTTCTTTCTGTCATAGGGTTATACTCTTGCATCTCAGCTTGGTCATTCAATTGTAGATCCAGTGCCAAGCTTGTTTACTTTCAAAATAGAAGATTTGTGTTTGCGGGAGTTGTCTGGGGTAAAGTATCAATTTGTGAAGTTCTTGCTGTATGATAGTAAGAAACCTTAAGTTCTGGTTCCTTTTATAAACCTTTTTCTTTTTCTGCGGCCTTCCTGCTTTCTTTAGTATAGTTTTTCAGTATAAGCATGCTTATTTATTTTTATTGTGTTAATGAGACTTTCTATCATTCTTTTCTGACTATAGACTGAGAAAGGAGAATGATAGGTTTGGTATTGTATATAGGAGAAGGAAGAAACTAGACAGTTAATACAGTTATCATTTTATAACTGTAACAGACATTATATAAAGTCTGTTTTGGTGCTAGGAAGGGGTCTGGTCTGTTTTTCCTTGAGTGCTAGGAGGGGCTAAGAAGAGTGAGCTCGAACACCTCATTGGTGTCTGTTGTATAACAATCCAGGATCAAGGGATTTGATATATGGAAATCAAACCGTATTAATGTAGTCAGATTTATGCTGTTAATATTAGGATTTGATGTCATATGAATGCATTGTAGTTTGTTGTATAGTTGTATTTCTTTCTTTGCTTCTTTTTAGCTATATAATTTATTGGAATAATTATTTTCCAGATTTTTAGGCCATATTAGTGTTCAGAATTATTCTCCTATTCCTATTTATACCTCCTGGTGAGTTTAAGCCGGTTTTTAGGATTAAATTAAGCACAGTCCATTTCTAACATTTAACAAAGCTTTCTGCTGTTTACAGGGTATTTATAGTTAGTTTCCACCATGTATTGCCATCTCTAGAGGAGGGTATTGGAAACTCTTATATCTCTATTTCAATTATTACTAGGGTATAACCCATATACTTGTTGGACAACTTCACGGTATGCCAATTGGTCTTAAGACAATGTTTGATATAAGATAGGAGAACAAGAAGTGTGGAGGTCTTTCTAGCCATCTATTGCACATAGTCCTTGCTTAGTACTTCATTCACGGTTTTGGCTTCAATTTGATCACTACACGGAGTCATTTACATTCTATTCATTTACACACTGCATTCTTCATTTGGCCATCATGTTATATGTATAGGGAATTCAAATTCATTATTCATGATTAGTACCTATAGAGTTGTTTCTGCATAAATTAAGCTTCTTTTCTACTCATTATTTGGTTTCCTTAACTGTCAGGTTACATTCCCTAAAGTTAAAGTGAGGCTAAAATTGGATAGTGTCCAAAAGAATATACCTAAGCTTACACAGGTATGCTTTGTTATAACCACAGGTCAAAACTAGTTTACCCTGGTGCTGTTATTACAACAGATTAAAAATTGAAAGACCATGATATTGTCAAATTTTAGGTTGGTCCCATGTTAGTTACACATTGGGGGCTCAGTGGACCTGTTATTCTTCGGTTATCTGCTTGGGGTGCTCGTTTACTGTTCAGTTCAAGTTACAAGGGTAAGGAAAATCTTTCCCAATATTCTGCGTTTGGAATCTTTAAAATTATTATTAAAATTTAAATCAATTCTGGTATGAAACTTCTTGACATAATAGTATAGGGTTTCAATTCATTTACAAATCATTCTGTTTAATATCTTCTAATGTTTGTAACTTTTTGGTAGGATTTGAAATCATTTTCACTCAAGCAAATTCTTTTATATTCTACAGTGTTCCAACATCTCCACTTTCCTTTTACAGATATTTTATAATTTGGATGCAGGCAAACTTTTTGTGGATTTTATCCCTGATCTGCATGTGGAAACTTTGAAGTCAATTCTTTCTCATCACAAGCTTCAATATGCGGTAAATTATGGCTCTATGTACTCTCTACAAAATTCTACAAATCTATATTCCATTGTATTAAGTTAGACGTGGAAGGTGATTTTATGATTTTGCTAATGAGATTCTTATCTTCGTCAGTTAATATTTATAGCATAAATCCATTTATCTGGCTCAACATTTTATGGAACTTGCGTGGTTAAGGAAGAAAAAATTGGAAATTGGAATGTCTAATATGAGTCTGCAAAATGGGTTTGCATGGTAGATGCACTCTATTTAATATTGTTGATGTAGTATAAAGTTGTATCAAGACAGCCACAATCATGCTATAGTTTTCTTCTTTCCTCAAATTTTCTTTTAATTGAGTTTAGGAACTTGCATTAATTCAATGTTAAGCAGTTTGACAAACACTAGTTCCATGTAAATTTCGATTATCGTATCCTTCACTAAAAAGTTGCAACCTGTGTCCACATTGGTAGCACTAAGTTGTTTTGCTTGTGCCATTGCAGAAACAAAAGGTACTTAATTCATGTCCTCCTGAATTTGGCCTAACAAAAAGATTTTGGAGCTATGTGCTGGAAAGACAGGTTTCACAGAAATTCCTAGTTTTTTTTTATGGAAAACAGTGTGTTTTAAATCCCTATACTTTCATTAAACTTGGTATTGGTCACTGCTTTTAAATTGATGAACTTTGTCCTGCAATTTTTCAAAATATATGAATTTACTCCCTCTTCATGCTTAAACTTAGCATTTGATAATGGTATTTTACTTCCAAGAAATTGATAGAGGAACTAAATTCACCTATTTTCTAGAATTGGAGGACCATGTTCATTTATTCGAAAGTACAGAGATTAAACTCAAGTTGGCTGAAAATATAGGTTGCAAAAATACATTTTTCTTTTTTTACTAATTTAGTGTTGTAACTAAAAAATCTTGAGAAATTATATAAATAATGTTCATGTGTAGGGTTTAAGTGGAGATGTCTTGTGGGCTTCTATGTCAAATAGTTCATTGATGTCCATAGGTTCTTTATTAAAGGACTGCATATTTGAAGTGACAGGCAAGGTAAGGTTTCTTATCCTTTCTTTAGTGTTACTTAATTCTGTTCATATATTTTTTATTTAACATTTCTTCTGTCCTATCAAAGGGTCAATTTAAGGATGAATTTGTTACTGCTGGTGGTGTTCCCTTATCAGAGGTTCTCTTTGTTAACTTTCTTCACTTTTTCCTTCTTCCTTCCTACTCTAGCTTCCATTAATTAGCAATATTATTTAACTGAATATTTTTTTAAATTTTTCTTTTAAGATTTCGCTTAATACAATGGAAAGCAAAGTTTGCCCACGTCTATTCTTTGCTGGAGAGGTATATCAAATTTACAAAGTTGTCTTTATTTCAATTTTTGAAGAAGTAGAACTAGAAAATGTTACATGTAGAACAATTCATACAACGGTTGTTTGTGTATGTCTCTTTCGTCAATTATTTATCACATATCAGAGTGATAGAGAAAGATAAACACAAAACTGTTGTGTAAAACATTAAGGTCTTGGTATCCATTAATTATTTAAACATGCGTTAGCAAAAAGAATCAAATCAAATTAATGAAAATTAGGACCAAATTGAAAAAAAAAGTATTAGAACTAAATTGAATAATTCAATGAAAATAAGAATCAAATTAGCATCTAAGCCAAAATCTTCTCTTTTAATTCCTTAACTAAGGTAAAGAATTGCCAAAACTATAAACTTTTGCATGTTTATCACATCTCAAACTATACAAAATGATAATGCAATATTAAATGTCTGCAGATTCTGAATGTTGATGGGGTAACTGGTGGTTTCAATTTCCAGGTAAAATGCATGTAACTATACTAATGAAGGCTTAATTGACATGATTATTGATAACCTGGAATTCCAATTTTCTAAGTTATTACTAATAAAATCTTGTATGCCATACATGTTGAATTGTTCAATTCTTACCACCATAAATAACAATTTTCTTGGTCTTGAGGTATATTCTTGTCTGAAATTTCTATTCAACTTCAATTGCCATTGGATATTCTTGTGCTTTTTTGTTGCCCCATATTTGACGTTTTGTTTAAAATACATAAATCTCAAAGTTTTATAATTTAGCATAATTTGAGGGTCCAGTTTTCCTTAGAACCATGGAATCATTCACTTTGTCATAAAAAGAAAAAGGAGAACAACTTTTTGACTAATCGATTGATGTCTGATGGTAGAGTGAAGAGTCAAGAGAGAGCTTCTTCATTGATTTTCCTTTTTTTCTCTGTGCAGAATGCATGGTCAGGAGGATTTATTGCAGGAACCACTATTGGTGGATTAGCACTTGAATCTTGTATAGGTTTAAAGTAAATGCTAATTTGCAAATTGCATGCTTTTGTTGGCAACTTGGTTTCTCTTTTCTGGGTGCCAATGAGGACAAGTACTGCATTTTGCTTTATTTTTAGCATAAGCATAGTTTAGTGGACGAGATTTGATACCAAATCCATTTATTGTACTGTTCGTTTACTAAAATTTGATTGTTCATGGAATACATATTTATATATAAAAAATTAGAAATGGCAAAAAAAAGACCAATTTGACCCGTTTAAATCCGGTTTGTCAACCTAATTAAAAAAACGGGTCAGGCTAAATAAAAAGGAAATGCTAAATATTAAATTGAAAAAGGAAATGCAAACCAACATCAATTTTTTCATTAATAATAATTGATAATGAATGATCATTATAGTTTCATGATAACCACTAAGACTGAGCTCTTTGCATTCATACTAATAATACTTGAAACTACCAATAGAAATTTTCTCCTTGGAATTCCTTTCCATAGTTTTTCATCCATATACACATCTTTCATATAAACATAACAGGCAAACACATGAAACCACTCAACATTCATCAAAGTACAAGAAACAACCCAACAAAAGATCACAAAACAACATAAAACACCTTAAACCAAGACTTAAAAAGGGCGTTCAGCGCCAAAAATAGGGCTTTTAGCGCCAAGGCCACTGGAAAGTGGCACTCAAGCGCCCAGAAAGAGACATTATATCAGTTGACAACACATTGTGTTTTATGGTTTTGATACACCTAAAATTTATTTGAATGATCAAATTGGTTCTTTAAACATTAGAGTTTATGTGAAAACACATTTATATGTAAAACTAAGTAACCCTTTGATCATTAGACCCGTAACTAGGTGCATTAAGTTATTTGACATCTCCAAAAGTATCCAAACTCAAATCTACACCTTCTAACATCAAATTATGCAAACTAAAGGTCTGAACAAGTCATAATAGACTCGTTACATACTCCAACACCTCATTTTCATCACAACCCCTACACTTTAGATTTTCACTAGTTAAAACCTCTAAAATTGACTAAAACGCGATAGAAAAGATCAACATATGAACCAAGTATCATATCCACCTCAAATTTTCCCTAACTCAACACTTAAACAAGTCCTAATTGACTTAAAAATTGATCCTAAACTTCTGGTTTTCCCACCAACCATTATCTCAAAAACTCGTCTATTAAAACCCCTAAAATACACTTTAAACAACATTGCAAACACGCTAAAAATGACTACCACTCCATTCTAAAACATATATAAGCTGATTCTCATCCTAAACAAATCACAAAAGACTAAATTAACTGTCCTAAACCTCAAATTCTCACCATAGACCAATATTTTATGAAATCACCTCTCAATCCTCCATTCTCGACCAAAATTGACCTATAATTCTACTCATACATTTCCTCTTAATATTTTAACCAAAATTAACACAAATACCATCATATCAATTGCATTTCACAAGGTCATTCCAAGTTCACACAGAAATCACACAAAGCATCAACATCATTCATTCATTATCCTTTATAAACCACAATTAACACCAAAACAAACATTTTATACATAACCAACCATTTATACAACAACATAAATACCTACAGTCATAATTTCATACATTATAATTCAATTTAAATACAAACACTAGCTTCCCTTACCTTAGAGAGGACACTACCAAGCTCTATATGGTACACTACCCTTGCTTCGAGTTCAAGTAACTCTAGAAATACCTACAAATTATCAAATCGTGATCGAAGTGAGTCCTTAAGACCACATACTAATAAAAACCAAGAATAGAGTACGAATGATACATGCCAAGGGGTTCCTAAGCATGATCATAGACGGAGAACAAAAGAAAAAAAGGGTAGAAACTTACTTACTCTAAACCACAAACTGATTGGATAGGAATGAAAATTACTCAATTGTGATCTCATAGACACTTCCTGATCGTTAAACAAATGATCGAAGAATTAGATTTATTAGACAAAAGGTAGAGAAACTCAAGAAAGGAGTTTTTAAATAGATGATTTATGTTTTAGATAATGAGAGGAGTTTAAGAAATTTTATTTATATTATTAAATTATTTTAAAACTAAAATACTCAGTCTCATTATTTTAAAACACTTATAAATTCTAATACTTTATTTTTAGATTCTTACATTAAACAAATTATTTTTTAATTAGGTTTAATTTGAGTCATTTAATAACGTTTATAAATTTTATCATAAATCGGGTTTTGAATTCATAAATGCAAGTTTCAATTTTAAATTAATGTAATTATATTCCATCAAGTCATCCTCATATCAATTCATTTATATTATCGCTCTCAATAAATACACAAAAGAGTAATATCATTGAGTTCGTCGTTAAATAACCAAATGACCAAAGCACAAAATCAAACAATGCAGAAAAAATGGACAGGACCCTGGAAATGGAAATTGAGAGCGACACAAAGGGAAAAGAGAGAAAAAAATGAAAGCAAATGAAGACCGTGACGGAACTGAGAAAGATAGATAAAGGCAAGGGATGACGACACATGCATATATAAGTAAATAATAAAACATGAATAAATAATTCATTTAATATAAAAAAATTAATTATATTAATTTTAAACTTGTTAATATAATTAAACATGGGATTATTTTGTTTTTTTGTAAACATTCAAAACAAATGACAATTATTAAAAACAGAAAATGTGCTCAATTAATAATTATTAATGAAATTTAAAAACAAATTAATAAAATTAAAATTATTATATTGATTTCTTTATTAAATTAAAATTAACATGTATATATTAATATAAGAATAAACTTCATAAAATATTAAAGAATATATAACAACGATTATTCTTGTAACTATTACCATTTAATATTTTAATAATGACTATGGTTATTAAATGAACATAATGTAAAATTGATAATTCTCTTAAAAATATTAATCTGATCAGTAATTTTACTATTTTGTTAATGGCTTGGTTAGAATTATTTTAAAATATCATTAGTAGCTAATGTTGTGTTTGCTTTCACGTAATGTTACGAAGTAGTTTGTTTTTAGTTATTTGTGTTGACTTGCGAAAATAAATTTGAAGAACTGAAATTCATTCTCACACGGATGAAAAGTTACAAGGGAAAAATAAGAAACTTCAACATATAAATCATGGATAAAAATATAACTTTTTATAGATAATTGAACACAATAAAAAATTAAATTTATTCTTATTTTTGTAGTAAATCAGCTTGAAAACAAAAACAAATACATAAAATAATGAAATAATTCTTTAGAAAAACAATTTTTTATACGATAGTATAAACAATTTGTATTAATAATAAATAAATTTTATTTTTTAAAATAATATTATTTAATGAAATAAAAATATAATATATTTTTCTAAATTTAATTTTATTAAATGACCAAATAATTAAAAACAAGGGATAAAGGTAAAAATGAAAAAAAAAGTATAAAAATTAATACTTTAAATATAAGTTATTTTTTAATAATTTATTAAATGATTAAATAATTAAAAATTATAAAATGATAAAATTAAGAGTGAAAAAAATAGTATAAAAAAAATTAATACTTCAAATATAAGTTTTTTTTAATAATAAAAATGTTGAAAATGCGTTAGAGAAAATTTCTTAATGATGATTAAAATGTATCTATGTGCAACGAATTAATTATTTATTTATTTTGAAAATCAACTTGTTAAAATAATTTTTAGAAATGCACGGATAAAATTGATTAACAAAATTTTTTTTATACATAATTAACGTTTTGGAGTTTGATATAAATATTTTAAATATAAATCATGGTTAAAAGCAATGTAATAGAAAAAGAAAAAAGAAAAAAATTAAAAATATCAAATGATTAAAAAATAATAATTGAAATCAAAAAAATAAACATGGATAAAAAGATAACTTCCTTGTTATTTTTTTTAGAATATAAAAAATGATATTTTAGAATTCACAGTGATTTTAAAATAGTGATACTCAATTAATTTAATAATAAAATATTTTAGTATAAATAGTTGTTATAAACGAATTTTATTATATAAACTAATTTTTTAGAGTTAACTACTTTCTATTTAAACTCTCTCACATTGTTTATTTGTTTAAAGATTGAAGAGTACAGTCTCGATAAAAACTACAATTTCACCAGGTTTAATTGTTGAACAAAGTAATTTTTCCTTTTACTTCTTTTATTAATCACTTTGGAGTTTTGTATGCATGTGGGACAATTTACTTTTGCATGTGAAGATTTAGGGTTTCTAAGGAACCTTTTTCCAATTAGGATCCTTAAGGCGGGATTGAATTATTGATATGCATATTCTTTGTGTAGATTATATTCATATAAGTGTTTAAGGGTATTTAAAATTGATAGACTTTAGTGTTATTCCTAAACAAATAAGTGAAGTTAGTTATTTATGAAATAATTGTGTTCTGTTGAGTAATTTGAGTAAAATTGTGGTTTAAATCTTTAAATGGAATGTATCTCTAAAATTTGACCCATTTAATCAATTGTAAGATTTATATTTTGCTAACTTATTTTGTCATATAAGAGGTAAAGATAAGATTTAAACATTTAAACTTATTTTTTAACGTCTCATTTTAATTTAATAAAACCACTAAGACGTCTCTCTTCAATTTAATAAAATCACTGAGACATTACATATTTAATCATTCAAAATAGTTAGCATATAATATAAGTACAATCATCTCCAAAAGAAGCAACCAAACATGAACAAAAAGAATATTTGTTATTCTAGACTGTGGGTTCTATTACATGTTACAATTTATCCATTCTTGCATCATCTTCTGCTTACACCAATAAATGGTGATCATCGCAAAATAAGAAATATACAAACAATAAATGGTACAATCAAAGTGAGGGTAAGTTAATGATAACTTTAAACATGCATAATTTAACTTCATAATAAAATGTCTACATAGTAAGATATCACACCCAAGTTAGCAGTTCATCATTCCAAAATTGCAAGGCAATCTCAAAACAATACAAACATAAAGCTAGACTCAATTATTCGAATTTATGCATTGACTCAAACATTAGAAGCTTTGCACTTGTCATAAAACCTCTTATGCATTGTAGTAAAAGCTTTGACTCCACCTAGCTTAACAAACCAATAAAATTTCGTTGTACAGGTTAAGTTAACTTATGGCATCACAAGGCGAGGGTCTCATCCTTAGTCCCACCATAAGAACCCCATTTAGCTTTCACCACCAAGACTACGACACTCTATGTGAGTTTGTAAGCTTATAAAGTATAAGATGATTTATGACCAACACCCCTTAACCAATGCATAACACTAAATTAATAAGGATTTGAAATTCTTCCTCAGAAGCTAAAACCCTAAATAATCATACAATTCACAACTTTACTTCATCCTTATTAAGCACTATCTCGTACAAAATTTCATTCATATGCATAAATCATAACTTAACAAATTTCAAATACTCAAAGAATCAGTACACAAACATTTATACACATATACATCAACAAACCATATATTTTCTTTTACTCCAAGATCAAACCAAAACCACAAATAAGAATGCTTTTCATGAAATAGAAACCTAAAATAAGTTAAACATAAGAGACAAAATTTTTTAACTACAAATATCAAATCATATATCCCACTGGTCAAAATAACAATTCATGTGGCTAGTACCTGTTATCAAAATTTCACCTCGATTTGACGGTTAATGAAGCAAGAATCCTATTTTTCCCAAGATGATGCAGACCAGAAAACAGGAGGGTGTTTGACACTAGAAAAGTGGCGCCTGACACTACAAACCCTTGAAAACCACTTATTTGAGTGCATCCAACAGTTTAAAAATGGTGCCCAATGCCTCCAAGTCAATGGACATTGTCTTAGTGGTGCTTGACGGCGCTATAACAACACCCAACAATGTATCAGTATCCAGAACTTCTTATTTGAGTTTTGATTAAGAAATTTGTCTCCTTTTGAGTTAATCCTCACTTAGTAATTTTTCAAAATATCACAATACATACGAATAACACACATACCAAACATATTAAATCAAGTCCAGATCAAATTAAATCACAATTCAATACATACATACATACATATATATATATATATATATATATATATATATATATAAATAACCAATTAGTTTAGCGTAAAACAAGTATAATTACTTTTTCTCACATGTGAAACATTAACAACTTTAATTGTCTAAAACTCCTTCCATTTCACATATGCTTTATCTACACATAGGGACATCACAAGAATGATCAGAATGATCAGAACCTATCATAAGGATCACTTATATGCTAGACATATTGATGATTCAAGTAGCACATGTAAGCAAGAAAAATCCACATGCAACAAAAACAAATTAGTCATACGAAATGGGAAAAAACAATGACTTACTCGATTGAAGAAATTTATTGGTCTAAATTGAAGAGCTCTCCACGATGATCACTTCTACGATCTTGAATCTTCAATGAGATGAATAGAAGGTAAGAACTCATACAGAGAAATCAAATAACCTTAGAAAAGTGACTTTTAGAGAAATAATGTATTTTAAAATAATTAAACTATTTTATAAAACTTCTTACTTATATAAATCCTTTTAATATTAAACCAACCAAATCTTACTATTTTTAAACCACTATTAATTCTAAAATATCATTTTTTTTAAATACTCACATTTTTACTAAAAGAAATGGTTATCATCTCTAGACTAATAAGAAAGTTTGAAAATAATTCTTCAACTAATGCTTTTGATTTATTAAATATTAGAATAAATTTATATTTAATAATAATTAAAATAATTTATTAAATAAAAAAAATTATAAGCAAAACACAAGCAAAATATTTAAAATTAAACCAATTTAAATTAAAAACAATTCAAATTCAGAACATTCTCTTAGTCCTCACAATTTCACTATAGGAACTGGTTATCGTCTCTTGACTAATAATAACCTAAACTAATAATTTTGAAAAAGATTTGTCAACTAATGCTTTTATTTCATTAAATATTAGAATACATTTTATATTTAACAATAGTTGAAATAATTAATTAAATAAAAATTCTATAAGCAAAACACAAACAAAATATTTAAAATTAAACCAATTTAAATTAAAAACAATTCAAATTCAGAATATTTTATATACTATTCTCATCCTCAAATTTATCACCAGGAAGTGTAGACAATATTGGATTTGAAAATTCAGCAATGCTTTATCATGGATAAAAGTTGCGTTCTTAATTATTAATTGACGAACTAATATTACAGTAACAAAAGGAGGATAAAAAAAGGAATCTTTTCCTGTTGTATGTTAACAAACAAAAAGTGTCTGGATGAGATAAAGAAAGTGCATCAAAAGCTTAAATAACAGATAAAAGTAATAAAAAAGCATATGATCTTATTTTAATTTAAACTACTACAAAATATAAAGCTAGTTGGGTCAATAATGTTGAGAAAGGTTTATTTGGATATTTTTTTATATAGTTTTAATCTGAAAAAACTACATATATTTCTATAAATTTAAAAAATATTAAACAATGTAATATTCAATGTAAATTATATAAGTGTCATGCAATCTCTCTGATATTGATTAATTCAAGCGTGGGATGGAGAATCACAATTAATATCCTTTTTCTTCATGATCTTCAATGTTGGTTTCCGTTATAAAGTTAGTATTATTTCTCATTTTTCAACTTCAAAGTGATATTTGTTAAAATACTTTGAAACTCAAGCCATTTATATGTTTTAATAGGTTATTAAAGTAAAATTTTAAATTCATAATATAATCATTCGTCTCTTTACTTTATTTCTATATTCATAAATTTTAAACATAACCTACAAGTTTCAAAAGTTAATAAATATATTTTACCTATAATTATGTTCAATTTGCATGTCTAATGAAAGCATAATCAATCAGTTTAGTGAGAGTCATCCAATTTGCAATAACTTAAAAGCAAAAAAGACTTTCCAATGTTATTCTAGAAACGTTTACTCCAGTCAATGATAGACTAATATGCAGTCAATAAAAGGTTTGATTTATATGTTACGAATAGTGTTTTAAATAAATTTCTATCTAAAAAATAGTCAATAATACACAACCATGATTTACCCCAACTTAACCAAATAAAAAAGAATTGTTGCAAAAAGTTTGAGTCCATGATAGTGACTAAGAAAGCAGCTTTAAGGAAAACGTAACAGTTGGGTTCACTTTGATGCTTTGGAATCAGAAAATCCCAAAATCCAATTCAACAACTTGTTTTATTCACCTTTTTCTACCCGTCTTTCTTCAAGTCTATTTCCTGCTAAAGGTTTAGCCCCCTCTTTTCCATTGCATATTCCAGCATCCCAAAATGCACATTCCCATTACAAACCAACAACATTTTTAACTTTTCACCAAAAATTCTTCAATGTTTTTAACTACATTCATTATTTTTCTTCTAAATATAAATAGTATTTTATGTCTTTAAAACTTTTATATGGAATTTTCCAACTTCTTTTTCTCTTATAAACTATTTATTCTCTATTTATATGATAATCTTAAATCCATATCACCAAAACTTTAAATATTTAAAATAACATATCCTATTTAAAATAAAACAATATAAAATAAATAAATATGTATTAGAAAGTATATAATTTACTAATTTTTTTAATCAGCCTTCATGAAACATTCCTTGTCTTAAGGAATTTGATTCGCCACAGTTAAACCAACGTACGGTGGTGACTGTTATACAGTGCTCACAACATTCTTTCTTTTTAAACGTTTATTTTTTGTTTCTCTGTTTTTCTTTTTATTTGTGCTTCCTTTCAGACTCAGTTTGTCTTTGTTGGAACAAATTTTCATTCAGTCGTTATTCATATATTTACCGAGACGCAACACTCAAACAGTTTCCGCCATTTTTCTCGGTGATCACGTTCACGCATTTTCTCTCGCGGAATGCGCAGGGATTCCGTTACGACGACACCGTTTCGTTGATAATTTATTGCCATTGGGTTCGAAGACGCCAGCGAGGGTGAATCGATCGCAGAGATGGCGGTGGCGCTCGCGGACAAGGTTAAGATCGGTGTCTGCGTGATGGAAAAGAAGGTGAAATGTCACTCAGAGGTTCTCTCTTTCATTAAACTTAATCAATCAATCTAGTTTCTTCGTCTTCTATTTCGTCTTTTGTTTTGCGTTTTGATGATTTGGTACTACGGCGGCTTATTTCGGATTTCGAAGCGAGTTTGAACTTCGAAGAATGCGCGCGATTCCCTGCCTCTGTTTTTCTGTCCTCATTGCTGGATTGGATTTTGCAGGTCTTCTCCGCGCCTATGGGACAAATTTTTGATAGGCTACAAGCGTTTGGTGAATTCGAGGTAGGTGAACGAGTTTGCAGTGTTCTGATTTTTTGTATCAGATGTGGTGGATTGTTGTTGAATAAACTAGAAATAACAGAGTTTGGATTATTCGATTTCTTTTTTAATGCTAATGTAAACCATATGAGTGAATAATACGAATCGATTATATTGTAATAGTTTATTTTCCTTTCACATTTTCAACATATACAAAATTGCAGTTGGTATTTACGCCACTTTTACTATAATTATAAGAATTCTCAAATCATCTATCACGTGAGATGCGTGATGATTCATTGTCAGCACATATACTGCTTACTCATAGGTTATAATGTATTTTTATGAGTTGACTCTTAATGCATTCTTAGTATAAAATATGTTATATTATGATATATAAATCTTAACTTTTAACCAAATTATAGTAAAAGTCAACAAACTTATCGGAACTTGATATTCTGTGATTACACGATAGAATACTCTCAAAGCTCAGTACATACTCCATACACTATTTATCCTGTTTCTATTATATATTATTTTGTTCGAAAGAAACGGCTGAGTTGGTAATTCTGTTTTCCATTTTTTTGCAATGTTTTTTCTGTTTATTTCTATTCTTATTTGATATTTTGTATTATTTGTAGGTCATACATTTTGGGGACAAGGTGATCCTTGAAGAACCAATAGAGAGGTATGATAGTCTTATTCGTATGGCTGGAACCTAGTTTGAACTATAAATTTGGACAGCAATATTTTGTGGTCCTGTTTGAGAAAAAAAAGTTTCACATGTGTATTCAGTCGACTCTCTTTTATTATAATGCATCCAACTTAGGGAATAGGAATGTAACAGTTGGGCAGACAGAAATTGGGAATGCAAGCAAGGTGAAACTTGTGTAATTATAAGGTTATCAACGAAAAATACAAATGAAAATAAACTAAACATTCCCTAAGTTTTAGTTTTCACCATGGGAAAATGATGGAATTTTTTAGGACGTGGAAAGTTTTATTCACATGTATCAGTTAAACATTTATAATATCTTATTGTATGTTCGTGATAACATTCTTTTAAGTTATTTTGCTACTGTTTGTGTTTGCTATAACATTTATTTTTACTGGAGTTTGAGATTGCTGAAGTGTTTAAACTTTGTTGATTTTGGAAGGAACTATTAACAACAGTGCCAACTTTCTTTACAGCACGCATCTATATGAACTGCTTAAAAGTTCCACGATGACGTGACATCATTAATTGTATTTGTACTTGCCACATTTAAGTTACAGCTGAACTGTTTTATTTTTGTTGACCTTGTGGATGTTTGAGGCTATGTCGTTCCAGTAATGTTTAAATATTGTGTTATTTCAGCTGGCCAATATGTGATTGCTTGATTGCTTTCTATTCCTCGGGATATCCCCTTCAAAAGGCAGAGGCGTATGCTGCTTTAAGGAAGTAAGCTTGTTTATTTACCAACTTCATTTGATTTGAATATTAAATGTATGTCTTGTTACTCACCAGCCTGTATAAGATAGTGTAAGAGCGTTAAAAGTTGGGTTATTAAGCACTAAAATGTTCTTGAATTACATATAAGCCCATGAACAGCTACATCCGTGATGGTCAAATTCTTGTATAAATATAATATGACAATAGATATATGCTAGCTTATCGACAATCATCTTCTCAAAAAAGAAACCTTTTTTTTCTGGTGTATTTAGTGTACATGAATTTTGATATGAGAATTTTTATGGTTCTTTGCTCGCTGATATTTCAAGGTAAATTTCTTTTTCTGACGCTGAAATTGGGAGGGGATATATTGCTGTTACGTGCATGGAACCCTGTTTATGATGCTAATGTTGCACTATTCTGTAGCCTGTAAGAGGTTTTTTAGTCTAGTGGAAGTGTAAGGTCTTTGTGCTACTCTTTTCAAATGTTGGGTTGAGAATTAGGCGTCATCACTGACAGGAAATTCTCCGCTAAGTTTGGTATGAGTGTAAAATGTATTCATGAATTTGCATGCAGATTAAGACACGTGAAGTGTACAATTGTGAGAAACTAGTCATTCTTGTGTATAAACTTTTATTAGATAGAGAGAGAAATCAGAAAGAATATCTTGTAATTAGATAAATGCCAGTAACACACTATTATTGATTGCAATTTATTGAAACTTAAAAATTTTGGTAGGTCCCTCTTCTTATTCAGTGAATTTCTCTTGATTTTGTAGTTTTCAATAAATTGTATTGTGTTAGGAAGAGTATTGATAGAATGATGAAAGTATAAAGATGACGAGTCACCAGGTAACAACTCTACTAAGTGAGACTGAGTTTGTTATTACAGTCTGACAATGGCAGCTGTAACTAACTATGCTGAAATACAAATGTCAGGCTATAGAATATCCTGAGATATACTCAAGAAGAATATTCTGTTGCAACTTTTAGGTTGCTTCTTAATCTTATTGAAACTGATCGTAACTGGAATTAGCCTCTAATTTCTAGGAAGATTTTGAAATCTTCACAGGGTATTATTGACCCACAAATGGTTTGACTTTCACCTCCTTTTTCCTAGTGGAGGTTCCTGCAATATTGAATCTATCATCCTGAAATCGTTTTCTTTCCTGGAGAAGGATATGGTAGAGATCTCAATTAACCACACTAAATCATTCTTGTTTAATTAGTGTTACTGTAGAATTAGTGGGCTAATGCTCAAATTTACAGCATATATTGCCTGTTGCTTTGTTTTCTGTTTTTCAGTTGTATAACATATGCACTCATATCATAGTTTCTTAAAATTGATAAATGGAGTCATTCCAAGAAAATGAGAAAAGAGTGAGAAAGCTAGAGAAAATACGGAGAGAGATCTGAACTAGTATTCTGTTATTAAAACCTTATCTCTGAAAAATATGAACTAAGAACAACTACAGTTGACCGGCAACTGCTAACAGCATTCAGATAGAGTGTCAGGGTTGAGTTACGGAGTATGAGGCTTAAGTCGTACATAGGAAGTGTGGGATTGTTAGATTTTGAACTCTCCAATTACAAGAACTGTATTAGTGTTCTTCACCATCTCCCTTAGCCATAATTAATATTGGCATTGTAGCATTCGATTGGGACTAGTCAGAGGGCTAGTGCACAACCAGCCGGTGAGTTCTAAGGCTATGTGGGGTTTTAGGATCCAAATGAAAGGTATGGGACTCCAGTTTTACATTGGGAGTTGGGATTCTGGTGTAGGATTTTTATAGGTTTTGGACTCTTCCTACTGCATTTCTGTGTGGTTCTTACAAGGTTCTTATCATAGTGTCAGTTTTATCCAAGTTTAAACTTAATTTAACTGCCGACAAAAGGACTAAACAAGCGGAAGATTATCTTCTCTAACAATGATTATCTACTGTTTGTTACACTTTTACTTTGAATGTTTGGATGAGAAGGTGTACTGGTCCATAAACTACTCATGCACTGTGATGCAGGCCTTTTGTGGTAAATGAACTGGAGCCCCAGCACCTTCTTCATGACCGAAGGAAAGTATACGAGGTACATGGATTGAGTCAATCTCCCTCTTTTTTAGGTTTTAATCTAAACTCTTTGTAGTTTTCACGTATGATGAAGCTTTGTTCTTTTGGCTTTGAATGCCTTGCAAATGTGCTATCTGGCTTTAACTGCTGATAACTCTGCTCCGCATGCTGTATTGGCTTGGGTTTCGACTTAAGGCCTTAACTTTTTCTCATTGTTTATTTAACAGCTGATATTTATATGTACATTTTTAGCATGAAGCCAACCCAAGGAAGTGAATAACTGAACTTTGAGTTTGTGTTAGTTCGCGTGTTGCTAAGAAAGGAAAAAAGAAAAAATTCACTCATTAAAGTTATATTGGCTTGTCCTCTGCTCTTTCCCGGGACAAACTTTTAGTGAAGATCATATTTCTATTTAGTGTTAGTTATGAATTTATGTCTAATTACAGTAAAATATGCTATGCTATTTCTTTGATGATATATATAATTTATTTTTATAAATGTTCAATTTTGGGCTTCAAGCGTCTTGAAATGTTTGGAATACCCGTTCCAAGATATGCCCTTGTAATTAGGGAAGTCCCGTATCAACAACTGGATTACTTTATTGAGGAAGAAGATTTTGTTGAGGTTCATGGCATGCGGTTTTTTAAGCCATTTGTAGAGAAGCCTGTTGATGGTAAGCTCGTTTCTTGTGTGGGTGATACTCTTTACTTTGCTTCCGTCTATTTCATTAGTATTTTTCTTTTTGGATACAAAGTAACTAATGAATGATATGTGCATTCTATTGGCTTGTTTTATCGTGGGTTGGGATGTTCATTTTGTTCCATTTTTTTTTCTGCCAATCATTGTTATATGTAATGTACATTGACTTCTTTTATCATGATAATGATTTTCGGGGGTTTTCTTTTTGTTCCTTTATCTTTTACCAAGTAGTCATTGATATAAGTAATTTACATTGGATTGTTTTGTCAAAACAAAGATTTTCAGTCGTGTTATTTTTGTCCTATTTTTTTTATTAGACAGCCCAAGTGTTAACTCATGATATGTGGAGTCTGCAATCGAATTTTCAACTGCAGGAATCGCAATCAATAAAAGTTAATCTTACTAAAATAAATATAATTTAAAAATTCTTACAGCATTGAATCGAAATTAATATAGATGAAAATCAATAACATGTTTTGAATGTGATATTCAAAATTTCAGGCGGAAACAATAGGGAATAGCATTCACTCACACTATGGCTTACAAGTTGTGTGATGTAAATACATCTTTTGCGTTTTTTAGTGTTAGGATATTTATCCTATTTTATCATCATTATATTGTGTTAAGGGTTACCCTATTTATTATGATTATATTGTGTCAAGGGTTACCCTATTTATCATGATTATATTGTGTCTAGGATTATTTATCATGATTATATTGTGTCTAGGGTTACCCTATTTATTATGTACTTTTGTATCAATTTATTCTTATAAATAGAAGATCATGAGAGGGGTCAATCAAGCCCTCTAAAATTATTTTACTGTTTAATTCTGAAGTTGGTATGTTCAAATCACGAGTAGTAACTTCTATAACAGGTTATTATATCTTTATGTCATTTCTTGAAATGATGGAACTCAACTACATGTGGTCATTGACTATTTGGAAGGAATAATAAAATACGTAATAGGTAAATGAATACTTACCGAAAATAAGTTAGTTTATCTATTTTTCTGCTTGATAATAATATTTATAAGTAAACCCTAGTGCATTAATGATATACCAAACTTGCACATCACATGAGCCCTATGCAGCTTTTACTCTTCAGAGATATGTGCTGGACTTATAAGACTCATGGAAAATGTTTTAACTTGTGATGCAATTTGTTACATTGCATTCATGACACTTTGAATTTATTAAATAATGAGCCAGACTGTCAGTCTTTATATTACATGCACTTGCAGGAATGTTATACATTATATCTCGCACACTAGACTTGCCCATGATTCATTTATTTGCCTTACATAGTTCGCTAGCGTTTTTTGTGGGTTACGTACTATATTTTAACTTTGTACAATAATGGTGTTAATTCTCATTAGAAAAATAAGTTGAATTATTGTCCTATTTAACAGAATGTAGCTGAATTTCCAGCTGTGTCTCTGGCAGAAATCCTCTATAATCAGTAATTTCTGCTTTTAATAAAAGTGAAAACCTGATCCTTTTTATTACTAATAATAATTAGACCACATACAAAATATCTTAAAATATCACTACTATTCCTATATAAGTCCAATAGGATTAGCTCCATATATATATATATATATATATATATTACAGGGTCTTACTCGAAGCTGATTTCTTCAGTGATTCCTAAGAAGTGCTTTTGTGAGAATATCAACAACCTACTGTCTTGTTTGAATGTAGGACAATTGAAAAATTTAATTGTTTACTTTTTTTTTAGAAAAAAATGTCTATTGATATTAATATGTTTTGTCCGATCATGATGGATTGCATTCTGGGCAATACTGATTGTTGTTTTTGGTGTTTTGAAGGAAGAAACTCCTTGTTTTGGGGAAACCTGTGTTTGTGCTAGAATCTCAACTATAAACAGATGCTTTCTATAATTTATTTAGAATTCTGTGTATCATTTTTTCCTTAGCTTCAACAATAAACACTTTTTGTTGGTAAAATGAAAATTTCATATTCCTTATCTGTCATGACTTAGGGACACAAGGTGATGTAATGAGAATCTTAGATAATTTGATGAAGGGCATGTGAAAACCATTTGCATCATGTTTTATCTCTTGCGTACCTTGATATTATGTTAGTGTTTACTTATTGTACTTTCAATTTTGTGTGTTTTTCCATTGCAAGTCCTCTAGCATGATTTTCTTGTTGTATCTGATACTAAATGAATGGAAGTTATAACCCCAAAATGCGTTAATTGTTCAATCATGATTGGAAATATATTTCTCAATTTTTTTAATAACTGTCATTTCTGTGCTTTTTGAAGCTGATAACCACAGTATAATGATATATTATCCCAGTTCAGCTGGTGGAGGTATGAAGGAATTGTTTAGGAAGGTGAGCTTTAGGCACTCTCCCTAGGTAGGTGGGTCATGTGTGTAATATTCTACTATTAACATGATATGATCTGTAGAAGACATTCTTTTTCTAATAGACTGGTTCAAACTGATTACTTTTTTGGTTTGTTTTTCTGTCGAAATAACTAACCCAGTGATGAGGTTTTATTAGTTCTCATCTGTGTAATAATCATCATCCTATTCTGTCATATTTTTAAATGGGAGGATTACATTGGTTGGATGCCTGTATGCTATCTCCAGTAATTATATTGCAATACAATCTTTCGAAAGCATATATAAGTAGTTGTAAATATAAATGTATACTATGCCTTCTTACAACTTGAGCTTTAACATCGCTTGTTTTTCAGTAACATGCTCTTTGCATAATTTATAGTGCTTCCTTTATCTCTTTTATGAGTTATAGTTAATCAACTTGGTCTCTGTTTTGGGTATAACATTATCTTAGGTTGGAAATAGGTCAAGTGAGTTTCACCCAGACGTGAGAAGAGTAAGGCGTGAAGGATCCTACATTTATGAGGAGTTTATGCCAACTGGAGGAACAGATGTTAAGGTTTGGCAGTTTTGAGATTTATGTTGCTTTCTATTCCTTTTCTCTTAAATGTAGTTCAAATGTTTCTCCATATCTTTTTGCATATTAGAATGGTCTCTTAAAATTTTGATAAATGACTGTAGGTGTACACAGTAGGTCCTGAATATGCTCATGCTGAGGCAAGGAAGTCACCTGTTGTTGATGGTGTTGTTATGAGAAATCCTGATGGGAAGGAAGTAAGTAGAATTCATCGCTTTTCTCAGATATTCTTTCTCTGTTCTCGTATAAATTTGGTCTTCGTTGCCTATCCATTTAGCATTACAAGATGGTCCTTCTTAGTTATTAGTCCATTCCTAGGAAAAGCTTTTTCCTACTTAGGTTTCATCATGTTGTTTTCTGTCAATCTCTAGGTTTCCAGTTATGCAGCTTTAAAACAATATATATTTCTGTATGAGTTTCTTTTTTCATCTTTTTGGGTTACATTTTAGTTAATTGAAGGACACAGATCCTTTTGGTTGGGCCAAACATAGTGCTTTAAATATTCTTCTTTTCATACATTCAATCAGTGAAACGGTGCTTGGTATTTCTGTTTATGATTATTAATTACCAATAGAAAGCCTTATATTAAAATTGATCTTTTTAGTCCTTGTAATTAGAGCAAAAATTGTTTTAATTCCTCCAAATGTCTTTTACCTAAATATTGTCTAACTGAATACTTTAGAAGGAAAACAATCATGTGGCTTGGTAATTGATGATAAGAAAGCAAAATCAAATTAGTTTGTCCAATGTTATTCATATAAAAGAAATCTTTGATAATATTTGGACAGAGCGACCAAAACCGGCTTTTTTCAAATTACAAGGACTAAATACATCAATTTAAATATAGGGACAAAAACTTTTACACCAAATTCAGACCAGAAACATATTGTGAGTAAATAGTCCATGCACTAAGTTGTAAAGGTTCTTTTACATTTTTATCTGATCACATGTCGTAGTGTATGGTATTTGCTAACTTTTGCAATGACTATTTAAAAAGTCGTACTTTCATGATTCTGATTAACATGGTAAAACTTTAATAATAGTGCGTAAAAAGTATACAATATTCTTTTTATTACATGATAATATACGGATAATCTGAAAATGTATTATACCGTCATCCAATCACAAATCATCATTTAAAATCATTGTGAAAGTAAAAAAAAAAGTTACCATACATGATTGTTTGTGATTGGATGACAATGTAAATTATTTTGCCCTAGTTGTGGTTAGCCTTTTTTTTTCCTAATTATTATTTGTATAAAAGAAATAAATCATTCAGAAAAGAAAAGATTATTACAAAGAATTAGGCGGCCAAGAGATCCTCGTTACAAAAAAAAAAAAAAATTAGAGAACGAAGAAACGTCAATGAAGAAAAACTTTCCTATCTGGTTCAATATAGCCATTTGGTCCATTGTTTGCAATATAAGCCCATTGACAACCAACAATAATCTTCACAGCAGGTAAAAGAACTAGCTCCCAAGTGCCACTAGCCTTTAAGCCTATACACTTAGGTACACACACAAAATACGTAGAGAAATTAAGAGAGCAATATAATGGGGATAGTCAGTCATAACGAAGAGTACATACATATAAAGGACTAGGATTGTCTCTGGACTAAATACCTTTTTGTCATTTGAGTCTTTCTGGTTGCCTAAATTGGTTATTCTTTTTTGCTGGTAATTGTTAAAAAGTGTTTGGTCCCTAATCGTGCAAACATCTCATTGTTGTCTTAATTTTTGAGTGTATGAATAGAAGGAACAAACATGTCCCATTACAAAGCAAGTCAGAATTGCTTGCTTGAAACAATATTTTAACATGTTGAAGCAGTTTGCCTTCTCATTTGGCAGGTCAGGTATCCAGTGTTACTATCTCCTGCTGAGAAGGAAATGGCAAGAGACGTTTGCATTGCATTCAGTCAAGCGGTATGTGGTATTTAATGTGGTAACTATACGTTAATAAAATATATTGTATTTTTTTAGTGAGTATTATCTTTTAAAACAGTGTGTACGGCTCCTTGGTTGTATAGTTGGATTTATTTTGTGTACAATTTCTGTTCTAATCATTAATCTTAATGTTGTGTTGGATTGTATTTTTAAAACTGCTATTGAATCATGTCAATCGCGATGTTTCTATTTCTCTTTCCATTTTAGCTGCTTGTTCTTTTATTTTATAGCTTTTTTGCCTCTGTGAATTTTGATATTTAGCTTAGAAAATATGTTCTAAATTATTTTGCTGATAGTTTAACCATCTTGATAAGTCCTATCAACGAATCAATCTAGTGTTTTAGAAAATGAATCTTATTATTTCAGTGGATTTAATCCAAAAGAGCGCATCTCTAATTTTAATTTTCTAAGGAAATCCTAAAGTGAATTAAATTCTATTACTTCACTTTATCTGACTTTCTTTGTTTTGGGTTGTGAATCTGTGAGCTAACGGTTATGTAGGTAAAATGTGGCTGGGCCAATGAAGTTTACACAGTATTTTATGAGTTTCTAAATTAATGAATGTGATTCTCTTTAAAATATTGATTCAATGAAATATTTACATGAGTATAAGAAAATAATTTTTCTGATCATATTTATGCCCTCCTTTAAATTTATGTTGCTTTCAGGTTTGTGGATTTGATCTCTTGAGAAGTCAGGGACGCTCGTATGTTTGTGATGTGAATGGATGGAGCTTTGTTAAAAATTCGTACAAGTAAATTTTGTAATTAGATATTTTTGTTTTGATATGGAAGAACGGTTTAAAATACTCTATTAGTTTTTCACTTTCTTTACATTAACAGAAAATCATAGGATCAGTTCTTCCCAATTTGATATATATCTGATTTTCCCTTCTTTCTTTATTAAATATTGGGAAGGATAGATATTACAGTACTTCAAAAAGTTATAAATGCTACACTGAGTGATTAGTGAGAACTTCTATCATCGTAACCAATGCAAATAGGGTGTTGAACTCTGATTCCATCCAATAAAGTTCCTTTTGCTAGAAGCAACATTTCTAATAGTTTCCATTGGGATAAATATGCATACGTAACTGATCTCTGGAAAAGAATGTCGCAAATTAAAATTCTTATCTTGTTTTAGCCAATCACTTGTCATGCTGAATGGTTGACTGGATATTATCCGTCATTTTTTATATTCTAATTTGTAATTGTTGAAGATCTCACATCAATTAGAAATGTGGTCAAAGTATATTGGTGCAAACCTCACTTTACAAGTTTGTTTTATGAGGTTGAATTATATTTAAAGTCTATTTTCTAAGCTTAAAGTCTATTTTCTGAAATAAGATCAAAGTTTATCCTAGTGAAGTTTGTTTGGCCTATCATAGATATTCATACCCATGCTCAAAATGCATAGTCTTTGGCTAAGAATTTGTGTTATAAATCTCATATTGACTAGAGATATGACTAAATTATAATATATAAGTAGGTACAAACTTAACCTTACTACCTAATTTTGTGAAGCTGAGTTATATTTAAAGTTGACTTGATGGTATAAAAACCTATATTAGCAGTGGTAATTAGTTTTATCATGCCACCTTTTATTGAACCACTATTGGACCGATCATAAATATCTAGTCTCAAGCTCAATGTGTCCATTCCTTAACAAGGAGTGTTGGAGATTCCACGTCAACTAGAAGTATAGTCAAATTATACTATATAAGTGAAAAACCCACACTTTACAAGCTGGTTTTGTAAAGTTGAATTAGATTAAAATCTAGTTTCTAAATGTACCAAATAGTAATTTCATATGAAGAGTATATATGATCAATTTATAGAATGTATATCAAGTGCTCGATGAATTAAGGAAAGACAAAAGAACTGTTTCCATTTCATATTTTAAACCATTATTGAGCTATCACTAAAGCTTATGGCATGCCCTAGCTCTTGAATAGGCAAAAATTGTCAAACCAAAGGTAAATAATCCAAGAGAAGAGAGTATGAAGAGGAATGTAGGTGAAAAAACCTTTAAATTTGTCTCTCTGTCTCTTATATACTTTGCTTATTACTATCACAAAGTCAAATGCTTTATATTACCCATAATATATATTACCCATAATGATTTTTATTACGTAATTTCCTTTTGTGTCATAGTCATTACAAAGTGATGAAAACTAGTTCAAGGGAAACAAATTCCCTTGTCATTTATGTACTCTTACAGAAATTACAAATTTGGAACTCTAGAAAAACGATGTCACACTTCTAAGAAAATGAAAACCTTTACTTGATTCAAGAAATTTTGCTTGATGTATGACAAATTAACCTTTCTTCTAATATTTTTTTTGTTCTACACGTTGTCTCTAGACCTTTTTATGGTATACATTGTTTCTCAACTATTTTTGTGCTTTTCAAAATCATATTATTTTGTTTTTCTACTGAAGGTATTATGATGATTCTGCCTGTGTGCTACGGAAGATGTTGTTAGATGCAAAAGCTCCCCATCTTTCTTCAGTGGTTCCACCAACTTTACCATGGAAAGTAAATGAACTAACCCAACCTTCTGAGCCACTAACTCGTGAGCCACTAACTCGTCAGGGTAGTGGTATTAGTGGCACTTTTGGACAATCTGAGGAACTGCGATGTGTAATTGCTGTTATTCGTCAGTATGTACTATTTTTTTTTTTTCATTTGATTAGTTTAATGTGTGGTTTCTTATATACTATTCACTTTCGGTAGTGGTGATAGAACTCCAAAACAGAAAGTGAAGCTAAAGGTTACTGAGGAAAAGTTGTTGAACTTAATGTTGAAATACAATGGTGGCCGACCCAAATCTGAGGTAATGCTATTTTTGGTCCTTCGATGACTATTGTTAAGACTTTAACTATGTAGGCAAACAAGTAGTTATCTGATTGAGACCAATTATATTCTCATCATTTCTATTTGTAGTAATCAATATGGAGANACAAGATGGTCCTTCTTAGTTATTAGTCCATTCCTAGGAAAAGCTTTTTCCTACTTAGGTTTCATCATGTTGTTTTCTGTCAATCTCTAGGTTTCCAGTTATGCAGCTTTAAAACAATATATATTTCTGTATGAGTTTCTTTTTTCATCTTTTTGGGTTACATTTTAGTTAATTGAAGGACACAGATCCTTTTGGTTGGGCCAAACATAGTGCTTTAAATATTCTTCTTTTCATACATTCAATCAGTGAAACGGTGCTTGGTATTTCTGTTTATGATTATTAATTACCAATAGAAAGCCTTATATTAAAATTGATCTTTTTAGTCCTTGTAATTAGAGCAAAAATTGTTTTAATTCCTCCAAATGTCTTTTACCTAAATATTGTCTAACTGAATACTTTAGAAGGAAAACAATCATGTGGCTTGGTAATTGATGATAAGAAAGCAAAATCAAATTAGTTTGTCCAATGTTATTCATATAAAAGAAATCTTTGATAATATTTGGACAGAGCGACCAAAACCGGCTTTTTTCAAATTACAAGGACTAAATACATCAATTTAAATATAGGGACAAAAACTTTTACACCAAATTCAGACCAGAAACATATTGTGAGTAAATAGTCCATGCACTAAGTTGTAAAGGTTCTTTTACATTTTTATCTGATCACATGTCGTAGTGTATGGTATTTGCTAACTTTTGCAATGACTATTTAAAAAGTCGTACTTTCATGATTCTGATTAACATGGTAAAACTTTAATAATAGTGCGTAAAAAGTATACAATATTCTTTTTATTACATGATAATATACGGATAATCTGAAAATGTATTATACCGTCATCCAATCACAAATCATCATTTAAAATCATTGTGAAAGTAAAAAAAAAAGTTACCATACATGATTGTTTGTGATTGGATGACAATGTAAATTATTTTGCCCTAGTTGTGGTTAGCCTTTTTTTTTCCTAATTATTATTTGTATAAAAGAAATAAATCATTCAGAAAAGAAAAGATTATTACAAAGAATTAGGCGGCCAAGAGATCCTCGTTACAAAAAAAAAAAAAAATTAGAGAACGAAGAAACGTCAATGAAGAAAAACTTTCCTATCTGGTTCAATATAGCCATTTGGTCCATTGTTTGCAATATAAGCCCATTGACAACCAACAATAATCTTCACAGCAGGTAAAAGAACTAGCTCCCAAGTGCCACTAGCCTTTAAGCCTATACACTTAGGTACACACACAAAATACGTAGAGAAATTAAGAGAGCAATATAATGGGGATAGTCAGTCATAACGAAGAGTACATACATATAAAGGACTAGGATTGTCTCTGGACTAAATACCTTTTTGTCATTTGAGTCTTTCTGGTTGCCTAAATTGGTTATTCTTTTTTGCTGGTAATTGTTAAAAAGTGTTTGGTCCCTAATCGTGCAAACATCTCATTGTTGTCTTAATTTTTGAGTGTATGAATAGAAGGAACAAACATGTCCCATTACAAAGCAAGTCAGAATTGCTTGCTTGAAACAATATTTTAACATGTTGAAGCAGTTTGCCTTCTCATTTGGCAGGTCAGGTATCCAGTGTTACTATCTCCTGCTGAGAAGGAAATGGCAAGAGACGTTTGCATTGCATTCAGTCAAGCGGTATGTGGTATTTAATGTGGTAACTATACGTTAATAAAATATATTGTATTTTTTTAGTGAGTATTATCTTTTAAAACAGTGTGTACGGCTCCTTGGTTGTATAGTTGGATTTATTTTGTGTACAATTTCTGTTCTAATCATTAATCTTAATGTTGTGTTGGATTGTATTTTTAAAACTGCTATTGAATCATGTCAATCGCGATGTTTCTATTTCTCTTTCCATTTTAGCTGCTTGTTCTTTTATTTTATAGCTTTTTTGCCTCTGTGAATTTTGATATTTAGCTTAGAAAATATGTTCTAAATTATTTTGCTGATAGTTTAACCATCTTGATAAGTCCTATCAACGAATCAATCTAGTGTTTTAGAAAATGAATCTTATTATTTCAGTGGATTTAATCCAAAAGAGCGCATCTCTAATTTTAATTTTCTAAGGAAATCCTAAAGTGAATTAAATTCTATTACTTCACTTTATCTGACTTTCTTTGTTTTGGGTTGTGAATCTGTGAGCTAACGGTTATGTAGGTAAAATGTGGCTGGGCCAATGAAGTTTACACAGTATTTTATGAGTTTCTAAATTAATGAATGTGATTCTCTTTAAAATATTGATTCAATGAAATATTTACATGAGTATAAGAAAATAATTTTTCTGATCATATTTATGCCCTCCTTTAAATTTATGTTGCTTTCAGGTTTGTGGATTTGATCTCTTGAGAAGTCAGGGACGCTCGTATGTTTGTGATGTGAATGGATGGAGCTTTGTTAAAAATTCGTACAAGTAAATTTTGTAATTAGATATTTTTGTTTTGATATGGAAGAACGGTTTAAAATACTCTATTAGTTTTTCACTTTCTTTACATTAACAGAAAATCATAGGATCAGTTCTTCCCAATTTGATATATATCTGATTTTCCCTTCTTTCTTTATTAAATATTGGGAAGGATAGATATTACAGTACTTCAAAAAGTTATAAATGCTACACTGAGTGATTAGTGAGAACTTCTATCATCGTAACCAATGCAAATAGGGTGTTGAACTCTGATTCCATCCAATAAAGTTCCTTTTGCTAGAAGCAACATTTCTAATAGTTTCCATTGGGATAAATATGCATACGTAACTGATCTCTGGAAAAGAATGTCGCAAATTAAAATTCTTATCTTGTTTTAGCCAATCACTTGTCATGCTGAATGGTTGACTGGATATTATCCGTCATTTTTTATATTCTAATTTGTAATTGTTGAAGATCTCACATCAATTAGAAATGTGGTCAAAGTATATTGGTGCAAACCTCACTTTACAAGTTTGTTTTATGAGGTTGAATTATATTTAAAGTCTATTTTCTAAGCTTAAAGTCTATTTTCTGAAATAAGATCAAAGTTTATCCTAGTGAAGTTTGTTTGGCCTATCATAGATATTCATACCCATGCTCAAAATGCATAGTCTTTGGCTAAGAATTTGTGTTATAAATCTCATATTGACTAGAGATATGACTAAATTATAATATATAAGTAGGTACAAACTTAACCTTACTACCTAATTTTGTGAAGCTGAGTTATATTTAAAGTTGACTTGATGGTATAAAAACCTATATTAGCAGTGGTAATTAGTTTTATCATGCCACCTTTTATTGAACCACTATTGGACCGATCATAAATATCTAGTCTCAAGCTCAATGTGTCCATTCCTTAACAAGGAGTGTTGGAGATTCCACGTCAACTAGAAGTATAGTCAAATTATACTATATAAGTGAAAAACCCACACTTTACAAGCTGGTTTTGTAAAGTTGAATTAGATTAAAATCTAGTTTCTAAATGTACCAAATAGTAATTTCATATGAAGAGTATATATGATCAATTTATAGAATGTATATCAAGTGCTCGATGAATTAAGGAAAGACAAAAGAACTGTTTCCATTTCATATTTTAAACCATTATTGAGCTATCACTAAAGCTTATGGCATGCCCTAGCTCTTGAATAGGCAAAAATTGTCAAACCAAAGGTAAATAATCCAAGAGAAGAGAGTATGAAGAGGAATGTAGGTGAAAAAACCTTTAAATTTGTCTCTCTGTCTCTTATATACTTTGCTTATTACTATCACAAAGTCAAATGCTTTATATTACCCATAATATATATTACCCATAATGATTTTTATTACGTAATTTCCTTTTGTGTCATAGTCATTACAAAGTGATGAAAACTAGTTCAAGGGAAACAAATTCCCTTGTCATTTATGTACTCTTACAGAAATTACAAATTTGGAACTCTAGAAAAACGATGTCACACTTCTAAGAAAATGAAAACCTTTACTTGATTCAAGAAATTTTGCTTGATGTATGACAAATTAACCTTTCTTCTAATATTTTTTTTGTTCTACACGTTGTCTCTAGACCTTTTTATGGTATACATTGTTTCTCAACTATTTTTGTGCTTTTCAAAATCATATTATTTTGTTTTTCTACTGAAGGTATTATGATGATTCTGCCTGTGTGCTACGGAAGATGTTGTTAGATGCAAAAGCTCCCCATCTTTCTTCAGTGGTTCCACCAACTTTACCATGGAAAGTAAATGAACTAACCCAACCTTCTGAGCCACTAACTCGTGAGCCACTAACTCGTCAGGGTAGTGGTATTAGTGGCACTTTTGGACAATCTGAGGAACTGCGATGTGTAATTGCTGTTATTCGTCAGTATGTACTATTTTTTTTTTTTCATTTGATTAGTTTAATGTGTGGTTTCTTATATACTATTCACTTTCGGTAGTGGTGATAGAACTCCAAAACAGAAAGTGAAGCTAAAGGTTACTGAGGAAAAGTTGTTGAACTTAATGTTGAAATACAATGGTGGCCGACCCAAATCTGAGGTAATGCTATTTTTGGTCCTTCGATGACTATTGTTAAGACTTTAACTATGTAGGCAAACAAGTAGTTATCTGATTGAGACCAATTATATTCTCATCATTTCTATTTGTAGTAATCAATATGGAGACTTTAACTATTTTTGGTCCTTCGATGACTATTGTTAAGACTTTAACTATGTAGGCAAACAAGTAGTTATCTGATTGAGACCAATTATATTCTCATCATTTCTATTTGTAGTAATCAATATGGAGATAAGAATACTTTGAAATGAATTAGATGATTCTAAAGATATTTTGCACCTAATCAATATGGAGATATTGAGGAAATTTTTATCCTTATAATCTTGTATTTACAACACTCTCCCTCTAGTTGGAATATTGATCATTCCCAACTTCACAAATATCTTGAATATACAATGAGGAAGCTTCTTAATGAAAATGTCTGCTATCTCTCACTTGAAACCCTAGGTTTCTCTCTCTTCAAAACCTTATGTTTCCCTATTGCATTTCTAGACCATCTCCCTGCCTCTGCCATGCTCAACATGTGTTCAAGAACTATCTCCTCTGCCATAGTTACTTGTACAAAAAGAGGTCTTGGCACTAGAGGAGGGTGTCCTAGCCATAGAGGTCGTTCTCAATGCACATATTATAATCGGTCCCTACCAAGAAAATTGTTGCTTTTTACATGGCTTTCCTAACACAACCAATATTTCCAAATCTGAAGTTTCTGAGCCGAAGTTCTCTAATAAAGAATAGGTTTAATCCTTTTCGACATCCCTATTTGTGTACGAATGTCTGAGATAGGTCCTCGTTTTCTAAAGTGTATCAAAATAGTCCTTAATTTTGAAAATTGATATCAATTGAGTCCTTTCCGTTAAGTTGGCTGGACGGCGTTAAAAAAATTAATGAGTGGGATGCTGAGATGACGAACGAACGCTCGTCCACCACCGAACGAACGCTCGTCCACCAGCGAACGAACGCTCGACGACCACCGAACGAACGGTCGTCCAGTGTGGAACGAACGGTCGTCCAGCGGTAAGAGGTCGACGAGCGTTCGTTCGCTGGTGGACGAGCGTTCGTTCGTCATCTCAGCATCCCACTCATCAATTTTTTTAACGTCGTCCAGCCAACTTAACGGGAAGGACTCAATTGATATCAATTTTCAAAATTAAGGACCATTTTGATACACTTTAGAAAACGAGGACCTATCTCAGACATTCGTACACAAATAGGGATGTCGAAAAGGATTAAACCTAAAGAATATAATGAATATCTTAGGTTCAAATTTGACGACTAAGCGCAACCTTTCACTCATTCTATTTTGTCACAAGCTTGCATTTCTCAAACATTTGAGTGTCAAAGTTCATGGATAATTGATTGTGATTCTTTTATTGATATTTCTGGTAATGCTTCAGTATGATTTGGTTTGTAAGTTGAGTTGCTCTCTTTATGGTCTCAAACAATCTCTTTGTGCTTGTTTTGGAAAGTTCAGCCACATTGTTCAATCCTTTGGGCTGAAATGTAGTGCGGTAAACCATTTTGTTTTCTATTGTCACATCTACCTTGGAAAATGTCTACTTAATAGTGTATGTTGAGGATATAGTCATTATAGGGAATGATGTTACTAAAATCTCTTAGTTAAAGTAACACCTATATAATCATTTTAAGACCAAGGATCTTGGAAATAAATATTTTTTAGACATAGAAGTAGATCAATCAAAGGAAGGAGTTGTAATCTCTCAAAGGAAATATGCTCTTAATATCTTAAAAGAGACAAAAATGATTGATTGTAAACCAAGGGATTGTTCTGTCGATACAAATCCAAAATTAGTGGTAGAACAGGGGGAATTTTTCTCTATCCTTGAAAGAGATAGAAGATTGGTCGGAAAATTTATTTATCTCACTATCACTAGACTAGATTTATCTTTGGTAGTTGATGTTGTGAGTCAATTCATGCAAAATCATTGCATTGATGACTGAAATGTTATTCATATTCTAATATACTTCAGCAAGACTCTAGTAGAAGGACTACTTTGACTCTAGTAGAAGGACTACTTTGACTCTAGTAGAAGGACTACTTTATGAACATAAAGGGAATACCCATATCTTTGGATATTGTGATTCTGATTGGGTTGGTTCACCTATGGATAGACACTGATAGGAGGTTATTGGTGTATGAGAGAAGAAAGAAACGTTAGTTATCTAACTGTACGTTAGTTATCTAACTGTTTTACAGTTAGATAAGGGGCGGGAATGTTATTGTATAAATAGGAGTTTGGTAGTTGGAGAGAGGGCTTTTGGATTCGTTATTGTTTGTCTGAACAGGATAGTTATTTCCTGTTGGGGGAGGTTAGGCTCCCATACTTTGACTCTTGTATTCTTTCTCTGTTCAATAATATTTCGGAGGTTATACAGTATTTTTGGCTGTTCTTGTGTGTTGAGAGGGATATCGATTAGGTTTCTTTATAGGAAACCTAACAATTTGGTCC